AAAACCCTTCTAGACATTGGCTTAGGCAAAGACTTCATGACCAATAACCCAAAAAACATGTGCAACTAAAACAAAGACAAATAGATGGGACTTAATTAAGCTAAAAAGCTTCTCCACAGTAAAAAGAAATAATCGGCAGAGTAAACAGATAACCTATAGAGTGGGATAAAATCTTCGCAATCTATACTTCTGATTAAAGGACTAATATCCAGAATCTGCAAGGAACTCAAACAAACCAGCAAGAAAAAAAAGTGCCGTCAAAAAGTGGGCTAAGGACATGAATAGACAATTCTCAAAAGAAGATCTACAACTGGCCAACAAACACATGAAAAAATACTCAACATAACCAATTACCAGGGAAATGCAAATTAAAACCACAATACAATACAATGCCACCTCACTCCTATAAGAATGGTCATAATCAAAAAATAATAGATGATGGCATGGATGTGGTAAAAAGGGAACAATTTTACATTTTTTGGAGGGAATGTAAACTAATACAACAGCTATGGAAAAGAGTGAGGAGATTTCCAAAAGAACTAAAAGCAGATCTATCATTTGATCCAGCAATCCCACTCCTGGGTATCTACCCAGAGGAAAAGAAGTCATTCTATGAAAAAGATACTTGCACATGCAGGTTTATAGTAGCACGATACGCAATTGCAAGAATTTGAAACCAGCCTACATGCCCATAAATCAATAAGTCAATAAAGAAAATGTGGTATATATATTTACCACGGAATACTACTCAGCCATAAGATGCAATGAAATAATGCATACACAGCAAAAAGTGAAGTAACTTAGGAATAGAAAACCAAACATTGTATGCTCTGACTCATAAGTGGGAGCTAAGCTAAGAGGATGCAAAGGCATAAGAATGATACAATGGTCTTCGGGGACTCGGGGGAAAGGCTGGGAGTGGTGGGGTGGGTGTGGTGAGGGATAAAACACTACACATTGGGTATACTTGGGTGACAGTTACACCAAAAATCTCAGAAATCGCCACTAAACAACGTATTCATATAACAAAATACCACCCGTTCCCCAAAAACCTATTGAAGTTTTAAAAAACCCATCATATTCCCCAAAAACCTATTGACAAAAAAAAAAAATTAACTACAATAATATTAGGCATTGAGTATGGCAGCGTTGACGGATGGAAGCACTGCACTAACATTACAGCAATCCACTGTGAAACATTTATTATTAGCAAGTTTAAGGTCAAATTCTACCGCTAAATGTTGAAGCAATGATGATAATCACCCCTTCACTAATTAATTAGGTCTTATATAATAAGTTTTATTTATCTGAAGTCATGTTGTAATTTTTTTTGCACCATATTTCCTAATTTATCAACATGACAAGGCTAGGCACCATGGCTCAGGCCTGTAACCCTAAACCCAACACAAAACTCTACCCTAACCACTAACCCTAACCGCTAACCTTAAACCCCAACCCTAACCACTAGCCTAGCCCTAAATCCTAACCCAAACACTACCGTGACCCTGACCCGAAACCTAACCTATAACCTAACCCTAACCCCTAGCCATAGCCCTAGCCCCAACCCTAACCAAACCCTAAACCGTAACACCCTAAACCATAACCCTAAGCCTAACCCAACCCCAACTCCAAACCTTAACCCCAACCCTAACTCCCAACCCAAGCCCTTAAACCCTAACTCTAACCATGAACCTGAACCCTAACCCCTAACAACAAGCCACAGCCCGAGCTCTAACCCTAATCCCTAACTCTAACCCCTAATCCTAACACCTAGCGCAAACCCTAGACCTAATCCAAACCCCAAACCCTAATCCTTAACCCTAACCCCTAACCCCTAACCCCTGGACCTGGCCATGACCCTGACCCTGACCCATAACACCTAACACTAACCCAACCCTAACCATAACACCTAAGCCTAGCACTATTAATAGGCCTAGCCCTAACCCATAACCCTAACCCTAAACTCTAACCCAAACCATACCACTGACCCCCTAAACCCCTAAACCTAACTCTAACCCAAACCCAAACCCCAACTGCAACACCAAACTCTAACCTAACACAACCCCAACTCTAACCCTTAACCCTTAACACTAAACCCCAACCCACTACCCCTAACCCTACCTTAACCCTAACCCACTAAACCTAATTTTAACCCAAACCCTAACAACCGCAACCCGAATCATAACCTTTAACACTAACACTCTAACCACCGAACCCTAACCACTAAGCCTACCGTAACCCTAAACCCTAGCCCCAACTCCAACTCCTAATCTGTGCCTAACTTAAACCACTAACCCCAATCCAAAACCAACACCAACCGCAACTCTAACTCCTATCACCAAACCCTAACCTTAACCACTAACATGAACCCTAACCCTAACACCAACCCCAACCCATAATCATAAACTCAATACATACCCGCAAACGCAACTCCAACCCCTAACTCTAACAATAAAACCTAACTCTAGGCCTAGCCCTAATCCTAACCCCAACCCAACCCCAACCTAACCCGAACGTCTAACCCTAGCTGCTACCCTACACTAAACCTAACCCTACCCTAACCCTAACCCAACCCCAAAACCTAACCCCTAACCCTAACCTCTAAACCTAACCGTAACCCAAACCCTAATCACTGACTCTAACCCTGCCCTAACACTAATCCTAACCATAACCCTAGCCCCAGCCCTAACCCTAGCCCAATCCTAATCCTAACCGGACCCCTGACCCTTTAATGCTGAACATGACGTTGACCCTAACACTTGACCCTCAACCCCTACCCTAACAACCCTAACCCTAAAGCTACCCTAACCTCAGCCCCTGGCCCTAACCCTAATCCAACCCGAACCCTAACACCGAACCCCTTAGCCCTAAACCTAACCACTAGCCCTAACACTTAACCCTAACCCATAGCCCTAATTCTTAACCCTAACCCTAATCCTAACCAGGAACCCCTAACACCTAGCATTAAACCCTAACCTCTAACCCAAACCCTTGCCCTAACCCAAGACCTAGCTTTAGCACAGACCTAGCTCTAACCCTAACCCATAGCCCTAACCCGAAGCCCAAACCCTAACTGCAAGCCCCGACCAGGACCTTGACCCTAACCCCTAACCTTAACCCTAATCCCTAAACCAAACCCTAGCCCTACCCCTACACTTAACCTTAAACCAACCCTATGCCTAACCTTTACCCCTAACCATGACCCTGACCCCAGCCCCGGCCCTGAACCTAATACCTAACCTCAACCCTAATCCTAGCATTAACCCTAAGTCCTAAACCCTAACAACCCTAACCCTAACCCCTAACCCTAACTCCAACCCCCAACCCTAAACCTTAACCCCAACCCCTATCCGTAACCTGAACCTGAACACACATCCCTAACCTTCTAACCCTAACCCTCATCCTAATTCTAAGCCTTAACCCTAACCCTAACCCTTACCGTAACACAAACCCTCTAATTGTAGCCCATAACCCTAACCCTAATCCGACAGCAATCCCTCACCGTAACTGCTGTTAACGCAAAACATTAACCCTAACCTTAAAATGTAACCGCAACCCAAATCCCAAAGCTGACGTATCCTAATCCATAATCTAGTCTAATCCTAACCACAACCCCTAAACTCTAAGTCCTTATGCTAATGCCATCCCCAACCCCAACATTATACCCTAATCCTAACCCTCACGCTGACAGCAACCCTAAATCTCACCATAACAATTGTAAACCTCTCTTTGGATTCTAGGCCGTGACCCTGAGTGACCCTAACCCTGCTCCCTTGTTACACATTCTCATTTCACCATGCCGTATTTGGAATCGAGCCGTGTCACTCCACTGCTGCAAAATCCTATTCGTCAAGATCCTGTATACCTTACCTTGCCTCAGCAGGTGTCTGTCTTTGACACGTTCTTCAATACTGCTCTTCCTCATTAAACTACTGTACTCAGGAAAAAAATGTTGCCACACTTGTGTGCACCACTTACCATGGATTAACACACGTCCTAAAGGAGTAAGCCAAGGATAGACATTCAGTTTGATATTTTTATTTTTAATTTTTGTTGGGACACAGTAGGTGTATGTGATTCCTTCAGTCTTAAAGCAGCCACCTTCTCCCACCTATGGCTCCCAAGGCCATCACAGGGGTCCTCAGCACTTCAGTACCACAGGATCTGAGAAAATGTGGAAGGTTTTATGTCGTCTTGTGTAAGGGCCAGGCCCGTAAGGATCACCACTTGCATACTTTGTTTTTTTTTTGTTTTTGAGACGGAGTCTTGCTCTGTCGCCCAGGCTGGAGTGCAATGGCGCAATTTTGGCTCACTGCAACCTCTGCCTCCTGGGTTCACACAATTCTCCTGCCTCAACCTCTAGAGTAGCTGGGATTACAGGTGCACACCACCATGACCGGCTATTAATTTTTCTATTTTTTAGTAGAAATGGGGTTTCACCACATTGGTCAGGCTAGTCTCAAACTCCTGACCTCGTGATCTGCCCAACTCAGCCTTCCAAAGTGCTGGGATTACAGGCGTGAGCTACCACTCCCAGCCACATGGGTACATATTCCACTGCAGAGCTCAGTTATCTGATGCACCCACAAAAACAGAGGGCTGAGAAATGCCATCTGTGTGTCCAACAGAAAAAGGTGTGAATTTTGTAGAACACATTTAGCCAGTCTCTGACACACAGGATTTCTCTCGTGTGAATTCCCTAATACCTGCTGAGGTGTTACTTCAGACAAAAGGATTTTGCACATTCATTTTTTTTTTTTTTTTTTTTTTTGAGATTGGAGTCTCGCTCTGTCGCCCAGGCTGGAGTGCAGTGGCACCATCTCGGCTCACTGCAAGCTCCAACTCCCAGGTTCATGCCATTCTCCTGCCTCAGCCTCCTGAGTAGCTGGGACTACAGGTGCCCACTACCTCGCCCAGCTAGCTTTTTTGTATTTTTAGTAGAGACGGGGTTTCACCGTGTAAGCCAGGATGGTCTCCATCTCCTGACCTCATGATCCACCCTCCTCCGCCTCCCTGCCCTCCTCGGCCTCCCAAAATGCTGGGATTAGAGGTGTGAGCCACCGCGCCCAGCCCACATTCATTACACTCTTAGGCTTTCTCCCTTGTAAGAATTTCTTGATGCCTCCTGAGGTCTGACTTCTGCTAAAAGGTGTTTCCAACACTCATACAGCCACAGGGCTTTCCCTGTGTGACTTCTCTGATGGGTATTAAGGCTTGACTTGTGGTTCAAGGATTTCTCACACTGGTTACCTGCACAGGGTTTATTTCCTGTATGCATCCACTGATATGCTGTAGGATTTCATTTGCTACTAAGGCTTTTCACACCTTCAGTATGTTAACAGGGCTCTTCACCTGAGTGAGTTCTGTAATGTACAGTGAGGGCTGACTTCTGGTAGAAAGCTTTCCTACATTCTTTGCATTCATATGGTTTCTCATGTGTGTGAATTCTCTGATGTCTATTGAGAGCTGACTTCTGGCAAAAGCTTTTCCCACATTCTTTGCATTCATACGGCTTCTCCCCTGTGTGAATTCTTTCATGTATCATGAGGGATGACTTCTGGTAGAACGTTTTCCCACATTCCTTACATTCATGGGATTTCTTCCCCATGTGAATTCTTTCATGTACAGTGAGGGCTGACTTCTGGAAGAAGGTTTCCCTACATCCATTACATTTATAAGGCTTCTGTCCTGTGTGAGTTTTCTGATGCCTGCTGTAGTTCGCCCTCTGACGAAAGGTTTTTCCACATTCGTTACACTTGAAGGGTTTTTCTCCTGTGTGAGTTCTCTGATGTGTGGTGAGCACTGACTTCTGGTAGAAGGATTTTCCACATTCATTACATTCATAGGGTTTCTCCCCTGCGTGAGTACTCTGATGCATCCTCAGGTTTGACTTCTGGCTAAAAGTTCTCCCACATTCATTACACTCATAGGGTTTTTCCCCTGTGTGAGTCCTCTGATGTTTAGTGAGAACTGCCTTCTGGTAGAAGGTTTTCCCACATTCACTACACTCATAGGGTTTTTCACCTGTGTGAGTACCCTGATGCATCCTGAGGTTTGACTTCTGGCTAAAGGTTTTTCCACATTTGTTACATTCATATGGTTTCTCACCTGTGTGAGTTCTCTGATGTATAATGAGAACTGAATTCAGGCAAAATGTTTTTCCACATTCATTACATTCATAGGGTTTTTCTCCTGTGTGAGTTCTCTGATGTACAGTAAGTTTTGACTTCTGAGCAAAAGTTTTCCTGCATTCTTTACATTCATATGGCTTCTCACCTGTGTGAGTTCTCTGATGTACCGTGAGGGCTGACTTATGGTAGAAAGCTTTCTTACATTCTTTACATTCATATGGCTTCTCACCTGTGTGAATTCTCTGATGTACAGTGAGGACTGACTTCTGATAAAAGGTTTCCCCACATTCATTACACCTATATGGTTTCTCTCCTGTGTGAATTCTCTGATGTACATTGAGGGCTGACCTCTGGTAGAAGGTTTTCCCACATTCCATACATTCATAGGGTTTCTCTCCTGTGTGTATTCTGTGATGATAAACAATGGCTGACGTTTGGCAGAAGGTTTCCCCACATTCATGACATTCATAGGGCTTTTCCCCTGTGTGGATTCTCTGATGAACAATTAGGTTTGACTTCTGACAGAAGGATTTCTCACATTTGGTACATGCAAAGGGTTTCTCCCGTGTATGTGTTCTCTGATGATTTGCAAGGTATGATTTCTTAATGAAGGATTTCTCACATAGTACACATTTATAGGGTTTCTCCCCTGTGTGTATTTTCTGATGTTTGGTGAGCTTAGACTTTTTACAGAACACTTTCCCACATACACAACATTCGACATTTATCTTCCGGCAAGTGAGTGCTGACTTATCACAGGATTTCCCACGCTCACTATAGGTACATGCAGTCTTTCCACCGTGACCCTTCTCTGCCTCAGTGCTGAAGGCTTTTCCTTGTCTACTATACTCAAAAAGCTGCTGCTCCATATGAATCTTGTTATGGTGACTAAAATACTCATGACACGTGAGAGATTTCCCAGTTATACTTCGAGCATCAGGTTTTCCTCCTGCCTGCATTTCATGAGGCTCAATCGAAATATGTATGTTCTGACTTACATTTAACTCCTCAGGCCTCATTCCTGAATAGTGTGCATTATTTACCATCACATCTGGAATATGGTTTAAGCTCAAATTAAGTATTTTTCCTAATTCAACTGTTTCCTTGGTTGATGTTTTGCTGTTGGTGACTGCAACTTGCCATATACATCTATGACAAATTTCCTGGCGTCTTTCAATTATATCAACTGTCTGGACACCTGTAACGAAGAAAAAACAAAACAAAACAAAGCAAAACAAAAATCCATGAACCACACACAAGCATTTGTTATGGAATGCTTATATAAAGACTCAATGAAGTTACTTTCTCTCCTAGTGGCATAAGATTCTTTAAAAATCAATAATCAGGACTGGTTTTATAAGCACATGGCTGTTCCTACTAACTTAATATAAGAAATTACATTACTAGATTTTCTAATGTGAAATTATGTTTTTCACTGTTGTTTCATTAAAAATATTTGGTAAAAAATATTCACCTACACCTAGTTGTAATTTTCCCCTAAGGGCTTATCACCTGCCAACTGTTTTCTCTATTGTTTTTCTCCATTTCATTCTTGTAACAATGGGAGGCATCTTGTGCTATTTTTCTCATTCCACCTTGAAGATGATAAGGTATTCCTGGATCAGCTACCTGCAGGTGCCCACCATGGCCACTTGTTTTCAGGACCAGATTTTACACCAGTGTTTCTTTAGCTTTCATGCTTCCCTGGGCATGTCTATAGGTATCTGGGCATTTTTCAAATACAAAATCTCTCCTCCAAACTAGGTGAAGACTGCCTCTTTCAAATTTCTAACTTAACCTGACTCGCTTAGCTTCTCAGAACTGTAATAGATACATGAAGCTCCACTCCACCACTGTGGGCATCCCCTCCCTGCTGGTCCTAAGGATTCAGTTCTGGAACTCGGGTGGGGTTCACCATCTTTGAAAAATCATTTATTGGCTCCTTCCGAGATGAATAGACCTGATATTCTCCCCCCAAATTCTTGGCACATCCATCCCTGCTTCATAATTCAATGCTTCTGAAGGCTTTTGTGTGTTCAAGTTTCAGCTGTCTCCCAGTTTCAGAGAAAAATGGGGTCTCTTGTACACTTCTCATTGTCTACTGCCAAACAGAAATCTCAGCCCTTCAACATGAAACCTTTGCTTCAATAGGCTTTGGAATCCAGAATCTCCTGGTTCTCTTCCAAATTCCAGGCCTATCCTGTTCCATGCTCTTATGCTGGGTCCTCCTCACTGTAAGGATTTCTGATGTCATTATAAAAAAAGCCTCACTATGAGATTGTTCTTATTTTTTGTTCAACTCCCTAGGTGACCTCTTCTATAATTATGATTCTAAACACCAGCTTTGACTTACCGATTTTTAAGTTTGTATCTCCAATTGTGATGTCCACTCTTTACATACATATTTATATTCACCTACTATGTGCCACAATTGGAAAAGAGTTAAATTGGACTGGAGCTATGCCAAAGTTAACAACGCCTCTAACACTGCATTGTCTTACCATCTTTCCTAAATTTTATCCCTTTTTTACTCACTCTGGTTAAATATTCCACATGGTTCTTTTACAACTACTTAACATATATTATTTTGTTTCTCTTATCACAATGTACACTTTATGAAAAAAGACATTATTTTGACCATTGCTGTTATAAACGCCAAGTATAAAGTTACCATGGCTTACAAGCTACTCGATTAAGATGTGTTGAAAGAATCAACGGATGTATGAATAAATGTCCGGGGGAAAAAAAACAGTCCATGAAAATGGAGGAAAAGAAAACAACTGAGAAAACTGAGAAAATGAATAGCAAAGAAACATGTCTAAGAAGAGCAAGGTAGGGACTAGATTGAGTAAATATTTTAAAATATTCGCAAAATAAAATGCAGGGATATATGCATGAAAGCCCTCCTTGGAGATGATAGAATTCACATGTTTGATGCATAAAGATTAGCTGTCCTCAGGTATGGGACCTGGGAGAAAAAGTGGTGAAAACAAGTCAACGATGCAAATATCTGCCGGGCTTTACTCTTCCTGGCTTCCCTGCCCAGGATGCAGTTGACTAACCTGAGAGGCACTGGTTTGCCCATTCTTCTCCTAACCATGGCTCTGCTCCTTGCTCCAACTTGAAGATCACCTCAGGTTTGGTAATGCAATGGCCTGGTAATGGGAAATAATGGAGGACTTGGCCAAACTGCAAAGTAAGGTCCTTTTCAGAATGACAACAGCTCGGTTTCAGAAGCTGTATAATGAAGGAGCCTATTTGAATCTTTTGTTAGAGAGGGTTGACACATTCTTCACATGGAATAGCATTAAACCTTATAAATGCTTCCTATACTTACCAACATGGAAGTAAGTGTTGCTTCTGGGGGTTACTGGGCAGCTTCACTCACCCAGTGACACCAGGCTGCTGTAGGTCTCCAGCATCACGTCCCTGTATAGTGTCCTCTGTGCATCATCCAGGTCCTGCCACTCCTCCCAAGTGAAGTGCACGGCCACCTCCTCAAAGGACACCAACCCCTGTAATGGCACATTTCTCCTCATCAGCCCAGGGTCACAAGATAGGAATGTCAGAGTTCATTCTTCTGTAGCGGCATATCTCTTATGTGTATCTTACATAAACTGTAGCTTCTCTGTACTCTATATGGAGAAAGAACAAGCATAGTAGAAGTATCCTGCCACTATCATGTTTTGTTAATAAAATAGATTACAAAGTTTACCTTGTAGATGTAGAATCATCCTTATTGTGAAAGATAAAAGTAGAAAAAAATTCTGTGATCTGGTATGATGACAAAAATTATAAACACATACCTAGAACAACATGATAGATGAATTAGTAGAGACATAAGTTTAATGTCGACTGCAGTAAGAAAGGAGAAAATACAGTTCTATATTGCATTAGAAAGTTGCACTTCATTGAAAAACCAAAGATGCTTAGTACTTCATGTGAACCCTGTGTTCTCGTGACTTTGAGGCAACACTGGGGTCTAGTCATAAGGACACAAAGAACACATACCATATTAACGGAACTGCACACAGCACCATGTCTAGCTGAATGATCCCAGGCTGTGATGAGAGAGAACACAACACTGAAGGAACTGATTATGGAGTGAGTCTGCATGTAAATATCTGACCTAACTCTAAAAGTTATTTTTAAATTATTTATAAATTAAAATAATGTACTTAAGCATCTGAACATTTCCTTCCTCATGCCCAATGACTGCTTGTGTCCACCCTTAGGGTGCACACTCCTATTTCCCTAACCACCGGGTGTAAATAATGTGTAAATCTGTGTAATGTTTACACTCATCTGTGAGTGTAATGCGTGTAAATACCTGTAAGAACAAGTATGTTACATGACCAAATATGCATTTTCACAGTCACCTAGAGGGAGAATGGGTAAGGACTTTGGGGAGATTCAGAGGGGAAGAAAACAGAGTGACAGATGACCACATTCATCCTATCACAGAGCAGTAAGAATACAGAACAGGGAAGCAATCCTTAAAAAGGAAAACGGGAAAAGAAAAAGAATTTGGTGCTAATTTGCTGTGCAGAGGGTAAAAATGGGGAGTTTCACTTTCAGATGATGCAGAATCATGTCTAGTGAGGTAATGGCACTGCAAATTTAGAAAATTAAAAATATGACGACCAGAAGTGACACAGACTTAGATCATATTGGAAACATCTGAGGTACCGTATGTGGGGACGTCCAACGAGCAACTGGATATACAATTCCAGAGTTCAGAAAAGATATCTAAGCAGAAGATAAATATGTGGAAAGTATCAGAATTTGTAAGGTACTCGTAGCCATCACAGTTTAAGAGATTAAAAGAAAAAATGAACAAATGCAGAATCTACAGAAACACTGACCAAGACAAACTTTCGAAGATTATTCTACAAATAAAGCTCAATAAGTATACTAATATAACCATATTCACAGTTCTATAAAGAAAAATTCTTCAATTTTGCACATAGACATACACAACGTACTTTTAGAAACACATTCCGGGTTTCTATTTCTGCATGTAAGAAGCTTGAAAGTCATCATTCCATCTTAACAACAAATGAAAAGCTGAAGAAACTGAAAAATCAGCAACTCTTCTTGGATCTGTAAGGGAGGGAGAACACAGGACAATCCACTGCCCCAAGATTGGAGATATAGACAGGCAAAAACAAGAACAGAGATTCACTAGCAAAAATCACCATGGGGAACCAGTGCAGGAGGAGGAAATTCTGAACTGTAACTAACAAACTGTGAGAGGCTCAGCGCGAACAACTCCAGAAGTTAAAAACTCCAGGGGGACCCAGTCATGAGGGTGACTCCACAGTACTGTGAAATTTACCACTAGGAGCTTAAGTAGCCTCCTACAGTAAATACTGGAGACAGCTCCCCTCCTGCTTCCACCTGCAGGCAGACGGGGAAAAGGCAAATCATTTTGAAATATGAAAGAGTACTGCATTGCTTCTTAACCAGAGCCTAGCCTGATGTGGTATTAACAGCTTCAATGACCTAGGTGAAGGGAAATACCCAACTCCAACCCACTCTAGCCATCATGTCGCACCTAAAATAGAAGGAAAAAAAAAAAGAGCAACACTTGTGAAGTTCACAGTTCAAAAGAAAGAAGAGCTCACTAAAAGAAATAAGCCCTGTTGACAGGACTACAGACCACTTCGGCTATGGTCTAAAAGTGTGTGTCCCCGCAAAATCGTTACTTGGAAGCCTAACCTCTAATTTTACTGCAAGATTTGGAAGATACAAATTCAAGTGATTACCAAGATTGGACTATTGGGAGATACCTGTTTTGATGACAAACACTGAGACCACACAATCGACTAGGCCAAAGTTATCTAGAAAAATGAGCTCACACATGGAAAAGTGTGAAACCCAGCTGTTCCTATTGTGTTTTCCAAAAATTAGGGACGTCTGCCTTACGAGACTCACGCTGCTCTCAGGTACACACATGGTAATCCTTTCGTTTAAGCAGAGGCGCTCGCAGCACCTTCACAGCACCAGCCTCTCCCCAGAGAAAAGGGCCACCCAGACAATCCTGCTGCTGGATCTCACTCTGTCACCCAGGATGGAGTGTAGTGGCACAATCATAGACAACTGTAACCTCATGGGCTCAAGTAAATCCTCCCTCCTCAGCCTCCTGGGTAGCTAGGACTACAGAAGTGTACCACTATGCCCAGCTGATTTTTTTGTTGTTTTGTAGACATGAGATCTCACTGTGTTACCGAGGCTGATCTTGAATTCCTGGCCTAAGGCAGTCTTTCAGTCTCAGCCTCCCAAAGTATTGGGATTGAGACACAAACCATGGTGTGCAACTATATGACATTTTCTATATTCACTTATATTTCTATGGACATTCAGGTTGTTTTCATATCTTGCCATAATCCATTTTCAATTTACTTTTCTGTATGGTGTAAAATGTGGTCCAATTTTTTTGCATGTGGATAACCAGATTTCCCATCATTTACTGAAGAGTTTGTTTTCTCGTGTGTATTTGTATGCCTTTGTTGAAAATTAATTGACTCAGGCCAGGCTGATTGATACATTTCTGACCTCTCTATTCTGTTCCATTGGTCTATGTGTCTGTTTTTATGCCAGTGTCATTCCGTTTTGATGACTACAGCTTTGCTATGCAGTTTAAAATCGGGAAATATAATGCCTCCAGCTTTGCCTTTCTTACTCAAAATTGCTTTACTCTTTTATGATTCTAAACTTAAGAATTTTTTTTCTATTTTTGTGAAATATGCTATTGAAATTTTGATAGACTGATTTGAATCTGTATATCACTTTGGGCACTACGGATGTTTAAAGAAACCTTTTTCAGGAACACAACATATTTTGTTTTATTTGTGTCTCCTATAATTGTTTTCATTAATATTTTACAGTTTTTGATGTATAGATCCTTCACCATCTTGGTTATATTTATTCCTAAGTACTTTATTCTTTTTGACATTATGTTAAATGGATTTATTTCTAGATTTTTGTCAGATATATTGTTAGGATATAGAAATGCAAGTGATACTTTTGGTACATTGGTACAATATCCTGAAATGTTACTTAATTAGTTTATTAGTTCAAAAAGTTATTTGATGTAATGAGGAGCACAATGGACTGTGGTTACACATTAAATGATAGCTTCTGTTAGTATATCACCATGCCTCAAAAAGTGATCTGCTGTATTTCTGCTGTTACAAATTCAGTCGCATTTTTTAGTCCTAGTATTTTTTCTTCTAAAATATTTTTGTCTATCATTAGCTAATAATGTGTATCCTCTGCTTACTGTTCAATTGTGCTACCCATTTATCTTCCAGCCTAGTTAGTCCAACTTTCTAATAAAATTTCTAACAACGGTATGTTCATTTACTGTAAACTTAAATAGTAAATTTGTATGATAGTTTTACAGTTACCAAATAGGATTTAAAACATGTCAATTTGTTGCTACCAATGAATCTCTGGGTTCCTAATTTTAAACATTTATGTATCATGTCTATTAAATATGTACGTGCAATGGCTTAGAATCAAGCCTAACATATCGTATGCACTAAGTATCAATCAAAACAATTTTTAAAATTATCACTTTCATACTATTAAAAATTATTTAGAGAGAAGAAAAAGATATAAGTCATATACCTGGATCTACATAAGGAAAGGAAGAGCAGTAAAGAAAGAATGAGGGTATCTTAACCAATCTACATATTATGTACAAACATATGCAATTATATACACATGCACGATTATGTGTGCTTATATGTAGTTGAAATGAATGATGACAACGACACAAGGGACAGGAAAATGGAAGAGAAAAATTATGTTAGAAGATAGTCACGCTACTTGTGAAGCAGTACAGTATTATTTGAAACTGGACTTGTAAGTGTATATTGAAACCCTAGAGCAACTTTTTAAACTAGTACAAAAAGTTTTAAAAATTATAGCTATAAAGAAAACACATGCTAAGAAAGAAGAGAAAATGGAATCATATAAAATGCTCAGTTCACATCTCAAAAGGCAGAAAGAGTAGAAGACAAAATAATATGGGAATAGTAACAATAACAAATACGGCAGTTATTAATTCAACTATATCAATAATCACTTTGAATATCAATGGTCTAAATTCACGAATTAAAACAGAGATTGTCAGAGTGGATCAAAATACAAGACCCAACTATATGTTGTCTACAAGAAACCCATTTTAAATATAAAGCCACTCATTAATTAAAAGTAAACAGAGAAAAATATACAATGCTAACAATAAGAAAGCAGGAGTGGCCAGGTGCAGTGGCTCACACCTGTAATCCCAGCACTTTGGGAGGCTGAGGTGGGTGGATCACTTGAGGTCAGGAGTTTGAAATCAGTCTGGCCAACAAGGTAAAACGTCTCTATTAAAAAAAATACAAAAGTCAGCTGGACATGGTGTTGGGCACCTGTAATCCCAACTACTTGGGAGGGTGAGGCAAGAGAATCGCTTGAACCGAGGAGGCAGAGGTTGCAGTGAGCTGAGATCACGCCCTTGCACTCCAGCCTGGGCAACAAAAGTGAAACTCTGTCTCAAAAAAAAAAGAGTAACTATATTTCACACAAAGTAGACTTCAAAGAAAGTAAGTTATCATGGAAAAAGAATAGTACTTCATCATGACATAGCAGTTAATCCTCCAAAAAGATGACAATCCTTAACGTGTATGCACCTGACAACAGACTGTCAAAACGACATGAGGCAAAAACAAAACTGGAAGGAGAAATAGATGGATCCACTATCACAATTTGAGACATCAACACTCTCCATTAGAAACAGACCCAGCAGGCAGCCATATGTAGAAAGCTGAAACTGGATCCCTTCCTTACAACTTACACAAAAATTAATTCAAGATGGATTAAAGACTTAAATGTTAGACCTAAAACCATAAAACACCAGTAAATGGCGCATCAATTAATAAGTCAGGAAAACGAACAGGTCTGGAGAGGCTGGTGGGAAATAGGAATCACTTTTACACGTTGGTGGGACTGTAAACAGTCAACCAATTGGGAAGACAGTGTGGCATTCCTCAGATAGGAATCTAAA